TATAGCCTGAGCAGAAACATGGTTTAAACAGACTTAAGATATAACACTCAAAAAATATAATAATAGAAAATGACAAGCCAGAAGAAATACTACCCAACAGAAAATATAATGGACTAATTTAGGTGAAATATTTTGGATTTCATAGTATTTCAGGACAGAAGATTCCTGCAAAGAACAAACAGATGTAAAAACAAACAAACAAACAAAAAAAACCCCACCACAAACAAAAAACCTCAGCTCTGACCAACCTTTCATATATTAGTAGTCCATAGAATAGTCCTACTGATGCTTTTGTAAACAGATGTAGGTTTTTTTTTTTTACATTAAAAATACAGTATAATTTTCCCAGTAGCTAATCTTTTACTTAACCTTTCAAAATATCCAGTTTTCACTGAATAGCTATAAATCTGTCAGCTAAAGTAAGCATCACTACTGTTGGTAATTTTATTCATGCGTTTCCTCTGTTTCAAGTCTGTCTGAAGTTTTGTTCACATAGCTTGTTTTTTTCCCTATTCAATCAAAAATATTTTTATTTCACACAAGTTTATAGTGCTACGGGTTTTTGAAATTATTGGAATATTTTGGAAGTTTCCAATCCAAAACAACTGCAGTATTTTGTGTTGTCATGTATTAGTGGAATAACATAATTTAAGAACGATGTGATAACTGGGCTGTCTCATGCAAAGAGTAGTCTTAATAGCAGTCTATCTTCTGGTTGTGCCCTGTGTTAAGCTAACACATCCTAACTAATGCAAGTGAATCTAAAATATTTTTATCCTGATAGCTAATAACAGAGATAAAACAGGAGATCAGAAAGAAGGAAATTGTGCTGAAGGATAAGACTTCCTTTTTGGTAAATGAAACTCTTAATAATATGGAATATGAAAAGAAAATTTCTTCTGCTGAACGGGAAGCTGCCAGCCTCCGAAATGAGTATCAAACTCAGGATACTTACAGGGTTCAGCTGCAGGATGAGGTAAGGCTTACCAAACAGTTCAGAAAAACAGACTGAAACACTAACTCTTGACTAGATGGAAGAAATACAGGAACAGCATTTGCTTTTCTCTGTTTTTATACTAGACTCTTAATAATTCAACAAAATGTCCGCTCTTTCAATCTACTGATGATTATTGGGATCTGAACCCCCAACTTAATCCTTTCATTGACAGTGGTGTAGAGACTGGCTTGTATTCTCTGTTGTGTTGGTATAAGGGATGAATTATCTCTTAAATGCTTCAGAAGGAGGCGTGTCTTGCCTTTAGCACACATGCACTGCAGTATTGTATAAAGAGGGAAATCTCTGGATTCCAGACAAATTCCTATCCTGTGCTTGCAGAAGTGAGTGTTGATGGCCTTGTAGTCAGGTTAAAATGCTAGGGAAAAAAAACCAAACACTTTCACATGGCTTTCTAGTTCATACTGTTTCTTATATTTAATCTTCACTTAAAGCTAGGAATGAACTGCACTGCTTAATCACTGAAATGCCTTTGAAAGTATTTCTAAGAGGTAATTCAAGTCTCATGGCTCTGTTGAGAAGGAATGCACTTGTATTACCTTAGTAAGTTTTCTCAACAAGAAAATGGTGACACGGGGCTACGCAGCAAGCGTGGAGTTTTTTTAAAAAAACTGTATTTGCTGTTGCCTTAACTTTGGATAGCCTTTCTGTAGTGGGTGGTTCATAAACTGATGTCCTAATTAAACTGTAGGTAGCTCAAACAAGGTGTAGGGTATTAGATGACCCTATAATTCATGCAAATGTGAGGGTCCACAGAATTGGTAGGTTTTCATCTCTAAGCTGTGAGATTCTTGCTTGAAGTTTTTCACAATTAATACTACATAATGTGATAACAACCACAGTCTGCCATTACTAGGTGTTAGAACATCTGTGGCGTGCAGGTGAGAAACAAGGAAAGAACCAGACTTACAGTTCAGCTGACAACTTGTGACCTCCCAGGTTCTCATTCTGGTGCAGAGAGACGTCTGCTGTATACCCTTGATCGGGTTTCTTCATCTGTGAAAGTGAAGACAATTACACTGTGAAGACTAATAAGCTACTGACTGTAAAGCATTCCTATCCTGCTTAATGAGTGTATGCTGTCCTGTATTTTTTACCAAATTAAATTTCTGTGTATTTTTGTCACAGTGTTCCCTTATCTTAATAAAAATAATTTTATGTACCCAGCAAAGTTTGAATTAGAAATATTCATCAGATACATGAGGGTATCAGTGTTCACAAAGAACCTCTTCAAAGTCAGCTGTGCTGTATAAAACCATAGTTACACAGATGCTGTTGGACAACAATTGCAGCCCATAGCACCTTCATAATTCATTCTGTATTCTTAAGTATTTTGCCCCATTATTCAGATTATGTAACTTAGTCTATTGAGTTTACTAGCTGTGCCAATTTACAGCACCTCAGAATCTGTAGTACTTCTCATTTGGAAAATACTTAAAAAGAAACGGAATACTTTCCAATAAATAGGTCCCTTACAATTTTAAATATTCTGATATGTACCAAAGTAAATAAGAACTTGATTGCTCCATTTTGTAATTTATTAGCTGGATGCTTTGAAATCCACTGTGGACAGAACTGCTGCTGACCTAGAATCTTTGAGAACACAAGTAACCAATACGAAGAAAGACATTCAGAAAAAAAAAGCCAGGTAAGAAACAGACCTTTTAAAATATCATTTGTAAGGACTAGTAATACAATCAAATCCTTCAGCTAGCAAAGAATCTTAAATAGTGTTGATGATTAAAGCCTCCAACTTTCTGGTTACTTCATGTCTTCCATAGTTTCAATTAAGGAAATACTCTTAGTAATCCTTGTTTTTAAAGGGCATGAAAAAAATCAGTTAGGGCCTTGGTTATCGTAGGTTAAGGTTTAGCCTGCCTTATTAGGCAACTGCTCAGTAAGGTGTGCTACTTGTTTTTGGCAGTGTTGTATATGCAACATACATTCAACTTATTAATCATGTAATTTTGTTTAGATTAAGCTTTCTTAAAGAAAAAAATGCAAATCTTTCCAATAAGCTGAAGCTTGTGACTGAGGAGACACTCAGTTCAGAAGACAAAGCTTTCAGGATGGAGGAAATATTAAAAGAAGAGGAAAAAATTGTCAAGGTAAATTGTTTTTCACGGTTTCTGCAAATGAGGATTGATTTCAGTTTGCAAGCTCTACCTAGAACAAACATTTATAGATTGAAATGGAATGTAACTATTACTATGACATGTAGCGATTTCATCAAACGATGAAGTAATGTGCATGCAGATATATCAGTATCTGTGTTGGGAATACTCTGGAGGAAGATAAGTAATTCAGAATTCCCCATTTATCAACATAGGATAGTGGAACTGTCATTGTACAGATCGGAGGTAAACCAGTATTCTGGCTGCATCAGTGTACTGAACAGGGCATTTCCCGCTGACATCAGTGAAAAGCTACTTAGAACTTCTTGACTAAATTTAAATAAAAGTTATTCACGGGAACGTGGCAAATTTTGCTATATAGTAATGTTTTGCTTCTGCTTTGGAACAGTACGGAAAAATTTCAAAATCTTTTATTTTGCTTACCTCTTTTGGGACTTTATATCTCCAAACATTCTGGTTTATGGGCTGCTGAGGAGCAAGGGTCCTTGAACTTCTATCAGTTTCCCATCAATAAGGTTGTTAAGGAGTGACAGTCTTGTCAGGATGACTTTTCAGTAATGTTACTGCTGAAAACTTCTTGGCTTTAGTAGAACACCATCAAAACTTAGAGACCTGCAAACAGCTATGAATTTGGCAAACTGGGATTAAAAAAGAGTTTGAAATCTCTTAATCAGATTTGGCTGTTTTAGTGCCCTCTATTATTTTAATTCTACTACATGACACTCTGATACATCTAACTTGTAGACAAATAATTACTGGCTCACTTTAGATTTCATTTTCATGATGAGTAAAGATTTTGATCTGGGAAGTGGCAAGTACAAGCTGTAATATGGTGACTATTTTTAACATGCATGTGTTCTAATTTTTTTTTTTTTAATTCAAACCCCAATTCTTATGGTGCAAATTAAGTATAGGAATAAAAACATCCTAATTCATTATCATCTGATGAACTGCAGAGGGCTTTTGCATAAATGGAACGTTGTAATGCAATCATCTCAACTTTCATGCCTTTCAGGAAATGTTTCTACCGTTTTGTCATTTTGCTACTAATTCTCTTCAAGTATTTTACTACTTAGCTTCTTACTGAACTTGATGCAATTTCTTTTTAACATTTTGCTGGACAATTGAGTATTGGATCTGCTGAAGCTTTCTTTACTGTAAGATGACCAGGTTAAATGAATGTGACAGCAGGTGTTCCCACACAAGTGACAACAAAGCTGTGTCTCTGTATACCACTGTAGACTCCGCCCCCCCCCATACTATGTTTCCTGTAGCCGGTATGTGAAATAAGCCCTTGCAGTAGATTGAGCGTTATTTTTCAAACTTTTTAGCTCCACAGGCATTAACTGTACATTTTAGATATACATACAGAAACTATATAGAGAGTTTCTTAAATTACAGGCCTGCCTTACTGTTTTGTTTTTTCAGATAAATTGAAAACAAGCTGGAATGATACAACATTTCATTAAAATGAAAACCTTAGTTCTCCCTAAGACCGTTACCAGGGTGGCTAAGCTGTAAGCAGGGTTACTCTGCTTGCGTCTGTGGCAGATAACCTAAGATGACATTGAGCCTGGCAGCTCCACAGCTTCGGGGCAGTACTTTAACTGGGATGAACAGTTCTTGAACAATGTCTGTAATGTATTGGTTGGAAGCATGCTTTCAATCACCATTAGACACACATGGCTATTTGCTGCATCTATTAATTTACTGTGCAGAGATATTTACAGGAATAATGTGGATGAAATGTCACCATTTTGTGCTTTTAGTTCTGTGATACTTCAATCTGTGGTGAAACACTGTTGCACAGAGAAGCTTAGCGTATCTCTTATCTCTATTAACAACCTCAGAGAGAGAGAAGAATTTTCTATTAAATAAATTAATTTAGATATGCAAGAAAGACTACAAATCATGATCCAGTTTTAGTAGACGAATTCATCATTGTCAGTAGCTTCAGGAATACAGCTCAGAATTGGGCACATGCACAAAACCAGTTTACTTCTGAAATTAAATTCCTTTGTTCAGGCATGATCCAAAGCCCACTGACACCAGTGTAATAAAAAAAGCCATAACAATTTCATACTAAACTTACACCTGCCTTTTACTTTCTGAATTTTAGATTTGGAATTGCACTTACAGCAAGTTCAACTATAAAAAAAAAAAAATCTGTTTGGTAGAATGTGATTATGAACTCTTAAAGAAGGAGTTATCTTTTGCTATTATTAAAGCCAGCAAGATCGTTCACAAGCAAATTTCACAACATACACACATAAAATCAAGAATAAGCACATTTTTAATCACTGTAGAAAAGTGAATTCTAAGGTGTCTTACTATATTACTTTAAATGTGCACCTTCAAACTCTGTACCAGACTTGAGCTAAATGTAAATGAGTCTTCTGGAACAGGATTGTGATCAATCGTTCTAGAGGTGTACCTTGCAGGAAACTAGCATGCTGAACAGCATGAGCTTTGGAATGACTTTGGTTATTTGGGTCAGGGGGTGGAAGGAGGAAGGGAAAGAATAAAGTTGTCTTGCTTGTTAGGGTTATAAAAAGAAAATAATCTCAATTTTGTTTGCTTTCAGTACATTTCAGGTTACCTAAAATATTCAGCATTGGCTTACTGTAACAGACCCTATGAAAATCACATTTCCTGCACTGATTTAGGTGTTAATGGCAACTTACCTCTGAGAATAAGGAACTGATTTTTAAATGTGCAATTAATTTTTCAAACAAAATTATTCCCATTTATGTAAACACACTTACGTACACATGTGCATACACAGTTACAAGTTTTAATAAACCATTGAAAAGCTTTGTATTATATTTCGCCAAATACTCACATACATGAGAAGCAATAAGGAGGGGTTTTTTTTCAAAGGATGACAGGAGTTTAGTTTTCTGAAAGGCTGAAGAGAGTAGCATTCCCATAATGGAAAAAACAAGGTCATCTAATAGTAGGGTAGGATCCATGTTAAAAAAAACCAAACAGATTAGTTTTTCTTTACATCAAAGACTTTTCTTGCCAACCATTTTGAAGATCTATGAAATTCCGTGTTCATATTAATGGATATAGTATTGAAATCTTTTCATCTTCCTATATTTGATTAATAAAAGCAAGTAATTCTCAGAAATTAATTCTTATGTGATTAATTACTTACTACTTAATGATTGATTTGTCACCAGAAAAAAGAAACAGAAGTGAACCAGTTAAAAGAACTACTTTTCAAGAAGACTCAAGAGTTAAAGGTGCAGAAGGATAAAGAGAAGTGTGTTTTAGCGGAAATTGAGGGATGTCGAACATCACTTAAAAATCTTAAGTCTCGTCTGCGCACCCTCGATGCAGATGCAATAAAACAACAAGAATTAATATATAACCAGGTAAAACATTAACATACTTTCATACTATGGTTGTTTATTTGTTCTAATGAGGATAAATTGCTTGAGTTCTGTAATCCTTGTCAACATCCTACCATTTTGGAAATGCCACGCAGTATAATTTGAGGTCTGTGCTTATTTCTGTCTCTAGCTGTATGGATAAAATTAAAATAACTGAAACTTGCTATAGTATCGCCTACATTACGTGCTTGCATATTTCATTATTTTTTGGATCTGCTGCTTTTCCCACTAATTTCTCAGATCTGTTCTTTACTTTGATCCCCCTGAACCACAGACACCTCGGGGCAAATTTTTAAAGCAATACAAGAGGTACATGCCAAAATCTTGTTATTTACTAATTGGATTTTGTGCATATTTCCTATGCATCACTTTGAAAATTTGCTTTTACATCAGCATCCACTGGTGACAGCAAAATGGCAACTCCACTGTAAGCTTCCCTACAGCAGACTGTGCTGAGTATGCTTTGTTACTCTTCTAGAAGATTACTCCTGAACCCTCACTGCACATCAGTTATCTAAGAATATTTTGCTAATGAGGTCTATAAGCCATAAATTATTATAAAACAATAGCTTAATTGGGTGACTGTCCTAAAGCCAACATTTAGATCCAAGTTTATATCCAGTGTGTTAGCTTTATAGGAAGGCTATAATTGCTTATTTCAGACTACTAATTCTCTTAAAAATTATTTTAACAGGATTTTTATATTCAGCAAGTACAGAGACGGCTGTCACGGTTAGAAGGGGAGGTTAATGCAGATGAAAAACAAGTTTTAGAAGCAAGAGTTGCTGAACTTAAGAAAACCTTGGAAGAAAAGAAAAATGCATATGATCTTTTACATGCACAGCACAAGAAACTTCAGGCAAGTTCCTTAGAACACCAGGTTGACTGTGTAACATGTAGAAACCTCAGTGAATTAAGTAGATTCGGTCTTATTAATTAATAACTTGGTATTAGTTTAACAGATATCTGAACTTTGTGTAACCTGCGTGGAAAACTTTGTACATTCACTATACCTTCCAGAAAAATAGGTCATTACTGCACAACTGAGATAC